CCAAACGATATCGTGGACCTATATAGACATTTTTCTTTAACGGGGGTAAAATGTTTAGAAAGAACTTCTCGTATGGATATTTAGACTATTCCATTGAAAAATTTAGTTAAAATCAGAGTGCCGAATATAGGGAGGTCCTGTTATATGAGACATATATGATATCGTGGAACTATATAAGTATTATTCTTTCAGTGGGTAAAGTACTCAGACGGAATCCTTTTGTAGATTTTTGTGGCTACAATCATCAAAGTACCGAATATCAGCCTATATAGCCCATCTTCGAACTTGACCTGCCTGCAGACAAAAGACTGATCTGTGCAAAATTTAAGCTTCATATCTTTATTCGTTTTGACTGTAGCGTGATAACAACAAATTTAGTACTATTTAGTACTTTTCGTAAAACTATAGTACACATTTCTAAGCCACAATTATATCTCAATCCCAACACAGACCTCAATATCCAATTTCGATTTTCGATTCCAGCTCGTTCCTTTCACTCAATACCACATTTAGTACCATTTAGTACTTTTCATACAAATAAAGGACAAATAAACGACCACCAAATCTCAAACACAGATACAATCATTAATATAAAAATCAAATTTCAGAATTTTATTTCTATCCCTTCAACCAATGCTAAATAAAGTGCAATTCAGTACTTTACGTACAATTATAGTACACCTCCATGTGCCTATGTTTTCATGTGTAGCCTGAACATCGACCCTTATACAAAATTTCAAACTGCATGCACAATCCTGTTCACCCAATATCAAATTGTACCAAATATAGCACTATTTAGTACTTTTCGTGCACTTGTAGTACACATTTTCAAAACCACTTATTTCAAAAAAACATTCCACCAACAGGGACATAGATACACATTTTTGAAATTCCATTCATCATCCGTTCACCCTCAACCAAACTTTTCCAAACATAATACCATTTAGTACAGTTCCCTCGCTTAGTACACATTTCCAAAACCACCTTCATATGTCAAACTTATTTTCCCACCTTGATTCTCAAACCAGATTTCAAGTTTTTAGCTTTATCCGTTTACATAATACCAAATTGTACCATTTTAAAGGGTAAGTAACATTCTTAACTTCTAAATGGTCCCAATTGGTACCATTTTAGAAGGTTGATAACATTTTAGAGCATTTTCTAAATTTAAAATTCAAATTTCCAATAACCCTATGGTGAATGTATCCAGCATTTTATCTGTGACTCTCATTTCAACTTTCATTTTCAGCTCCACTGGTTCATCTCCAATTCGTACCAAATGTAGTAACATTTAGTACACATAAGTAAACATTTTCCAAAGCTTCCTACATGCCACAATCTTAAACTCCTACAGCAATTCCACCCCAGTTGGTTCAACTAAATACAAATTGTACTTTATTTAGTACATTTTAGTACACATAAGTACAAATTTCCAAAACTACCTGTATATCCCAATCCTACTCCCCCATAATCGTTTCCAATTTTTACGATACCAGCTTTTTTGTTCACTCAAATCCGATTTGTACCAAATTTAGTACAATTTAGTACATATAGGTACGAATTTCCCACGCCAATTAAATTTTAGAATTCCACCCCTGTTGTTCCCCATATACAAATTGTACTTTATTTAGTACATTTTGGTACAAATTTCCAAAACTACCTACATATGGAGGGCTCACTGCTATACCGAACCAAGTCATGAAAAATAAAAAATGCCGAAATTAGTGCCAATGTCCCCGTATATGGAAACTCTGTTTACTCTGTAAAGCACAATGTCAAAAAGTGTTTCGTTCCAAAGATAACGGTAAAAAACCTAAGTCAACAACTGTCATTTTCGACTTTTTTCAAAGCAAAAATGAACCAAGTCAGTGTGTTTCACTTTGAATCAGTACTATTAGTGAGCACGTATTTATTGTCGTTCAGTTTTCAGCAATATTAAAAAAAATCAGTGTTTTCTATAAATGGATAGTAAGAATAGCCAGTGATTTTTCCAATAATGAAGATGAGGAATATTTGCCAGCCCCAAAAATGATGACCAATTTTTTATGTGTAAATATTTGTTGAAGCCGTAAAATTAAATTAAAATTAAGAAGGTAAAGTCATTTCAAATAAGAATATCCATCTCTGTAATTTACTCTGTCAAATTTCCCTGCCTAGAAAGCAGGTTCCCATCTCTGATTTGTATGTACAATGGATTTATAAATATACCTTTTGACAATGAGATGTTGTCAAATGCATAACATGGAAAGAAAACAAGTAAAAAAAGCTGTAAGTTCGACCAGGCCGAATTTTGAATACCCTCCATCATTTGGTACATATTTGGCAATTTTCAAAAAATTAAAATCCATTAAAAATTCTGTTAAAATCTTAAAAATACCGAATGTAGCCGTATATTAGGGGCTATACGAAGACGTGGACCTGCACATACAATTTTCTGTCATAGGCTGTAGTATTCATTACGAACTTCAAATACCAAATTTGAAATAGTTCCGGTATGTCGCTAAAATCATCAGAATACTGCATATCCGAAGGTACCGTTATATGGGGGCTATACGAGTACGTGGACCTACATGGCCCATTTTCAATACCAAAAGTCCTGCCGGCATAATACACATTTGAGTAAATTTTTATCAACTTACTTCATTTCGTTCGGATGCTAGAGTGATTTCCACAGACGAACAGACGGACGACATAGAATCTTATGCTGATCAAGAATATATACATTATGGGTTCTAAAAACGGAATTACAAATGTAATATACCCTCCATACCATGGTGAAGGGTATAAAAATGCAAACATATAATTGCATGACTTTACCTTCTTATTTCTACCATAGTTGCAACCTTACATTTTCCTTTGTCCTTGTTAACATTAATTTATTTTCTTTAAAAAATGAATTTCTTTTATTTTCCTAAAAATCACAATGATTGTCAATTACAATAGAGGTGCTTCTATTGCAGCTGCCAGCCGCCAATCCAAGACATGGCTTAAAATAAAACTCCGAAACTAGTGGGAAATTAAGCGCTAAAGTCAACTATATTTAGTCATATAACGAACACTTTATTTTATTTGTTTTTACTTAGTTCGCTTTAGCTGTGAAACCTTCAAATTTTATTCAGAGCAATAATGAACCAAAGTAGATTTTTTTGCTTTTGAATATTTTTTTAGTAATATATTTAAGTTATTTTTATTTTAAATTAATATCATTAGTTAATTTTGAATATAGACTTTTACATTTTCTTTTGGTAGACTAAAATATTCCTTCCAGAAATTAATGGCAGTGCATTTACTTTACCTCTAAATATCTTCGAATTATGTTTTTATGACTTAGTTCGGTATAGCTGTGAGCCCTTCATATCTCAATCCTATACTTCGACAGTAATATAATTTCCAATTTTTAGGATACCAGTTCTCTTGGTTCACTCAAATCCAATTTATACCAAATTTAGTACCATTTAGAACTCATAAGTTCGAATTTCCAAAATTTCCTACTCCCACAGTAATCTCAATTCTAAATTTTAGGCTTCCACCCTTGTTTTTTCCCAAAAAAAAAAAAAAAAAAAAAAAATACAAATTGTAATTTATTTAGTACATTTTAGTACAAATTTCCAAAACTATCTACATATCCCTATCCTATACTTTGACAGTAATATTATTTCCAATTTTCAAGATACCAGTTCTGTTGGTTCACCCAAATCCAAATTGTACCAAATTTAGTACCATTTAGTACACTTAAGTACTAATTTTCATAACTATCTTTCTCGTACAGTCTAAAAGAAATCTTATTTTCAAATTGCAGGATACCAACTCTACCGGTTCACCCAACATTTAAATTGTACCAAAATTAGTACCGTAGTAGTACAAATAATTACGAATTTCCAAAACTACCTGCACTCCCAAGTCCTAGAATTAATAGTAATCTTTTTTCTAAATTTCAGAATTCCAGCTCTATCGGTTCACCCAAAGCGAAATTGTACCAAAGTACTTTCAGTACATTTCGTACACATAAGTACAAATTTCGAAAACTTCCTCTATATTCCAATCCTACACCCCGCCAGTAACGTTAATGTCAAATTTCAGGATACCAGCTCCATCTATTCCTCTAAATTCAAACTTTACTAAATTGACTTTTCAATATTAAATGTTTTATGCCCTACCTAGCGCCAAATATCCGGTTGGGTTCAGTCTGATTCCAATTTGAACGAATATTATTGGGTATCGAAAAAAACCGGTAATATGCCAAAACGACCAAGGAAAGCATCTCACATCCACTATGATGACGACCACTTGTTGTTAAAAATTCTAAATCCGTATATGGTCTAATTCAATATCGTATCGCTCAAATACACATTGTAATTATAATTCAAAAAAAAAAAAAACATTGGGGCATTTAATCACTTAGCAGAAAAAACATACCTAAATGCGATTAAACATTTGAGAGCGTAATTAGTTCAAGATCTCTCAGAATGATAAGGAAAAGCTATTGATCGTTTTCACATTATTTTCCGAAGTCCATACATTGTTGTGCTGTTGCTGGCATTTCAAACGGCAACAATGTGAAATGCGTGTGTGCGTTGAGAGGAAGAGAGAAAGAGAGAGAGCAAAAAATGTTTGCGAGCAATAATGACGATGATGAGTCTCAACAAATCGTGTGGACGTTATCAGTTAGTCAACAACGAACAGAACTAGGTTCTGAAATGGGCGATCATCATTTGAGAATGAAAGTAAAAAATACAAAAACAAAACAACAAAAATGAAAAACTTTTATTAGAATTGAAATATTAGAAAAAAAGCTTTCGGACGCCCAAAACACCACATAGCCGTGTATTACGACGCACTGCCCTGTATCCCTCCTTCCTACGTGTAGTCCATCCATTCTCTCCCTCTGCCATTGGCAAGACACACAGATAAACCTTGTTGTTGTTGCTTTTTATTGCCATTTGGAAGAACCGCACCGCCACCGAACAGAACAAAAACATAGAAACATTTCGAATTCAGTTAGTTTTCATTCAGTTTATATTGGGAAACGGTAGTTAACGGTACGTTAAGGAAATTCTAGGAAAATCGAAAAATTTCGAAATCTCCAATAACGCGCGAACGTGAGAATAATAGAAAAAATAGAAATCAATTAAAAACACACAAAGCATGGCTGAAACAACAGGCAACAGGTATGAGCAAAAAAATCGGCTAATAGAAAATAAATGTTTCGAAATAAGATCGAGTAGATATTTTTTGTAAATATTTTGGTAATTTTTTCTTGTGCGTAACAAGTGTTTTTGGTTTGAGAAAAAAAAGAAAATAAATGTGTTTTGAAATTAGAAAAGTGTGTATGTGAAAATAAACAGATGTTTTTAGAATTTTTGCCATTTGCGGAATAATTTCTTAACCCTTATTTTGAAAAAAAAAAATATATTTTAAAGCCATGTTGTTTGAATATTGATCCATTGCAAAAATGGGCAATTTTTTAAAAATCATAAATTCTGCTTATATTGTATTTTTTCTTACAAATTTTGGGGAGAGGGTAGTAAAACTTGATGGGAGAGTTCCAACATAGGCTATATTTAATAAATCATGAAATTTATATTCAACCAAGAATATTTCAAAATTTGGTCACCGTATTGATTGTACCATGCTGGAATAAAGAAGGAAATTATTGTTCTACTTCTGGCTATACAATTTTTACAGCCGGTTTATATTGAGGACTGGATCTTGACCTCTCAGACAGGGGGTCAAAAATTCGAAAAATAACTCTTGCAAAATGCAAAATCATGTACTGATTTTCTTCAAACTTTACTCATTGAAATATTTTTATGAATACTAGATCTGGAACGAAGATGGGCTTCGCCGATCCACTTCTTTTAGTACCTCACCTACAAAACTCCAAATCTTTATAAAAAAGGTATTAATCTCAAAAAAAAAAAATCGAAAAGGGTCGTAATATTTTTAACAGACATAGGCCAGGTTCGAAAAAGTAGAACACCAACTCACAACTTCTTCACACCTACCCCCCCACCATAATTTCACAATAATTTAAGAAATCAATGGCCGATTTTCTTCAAATTTGGAACATCCAAATATTATTGGCTATGTATTTTTATAAAAACTGCAGGGGTCTTCAAGGATATTTTGGTCTGGGAAAATTTTATATTTAAAATAAATATATATAAATGAATTAACTGACTGACCAAGAATCAACGTCCACACGAAACGGACGGAGGCTACAATCTTGACATTTTGTGTGTGATAAGGCTTGGTTTTTGGAAATTAGTACTGAAAGGATACCAAAAGTGTTAAAGGATGTATTTGAATATTAATTAACGGAATGAGCTAGAATATGAAATTTGGAATGAGAATCGTTGATGGAGTGCAGGATAGATGTACCAAAATGTTTTTGGGAATTTCAACTTTAAGGTTATGAAAAGTTCTAAAATGGTACTACACTTCCAAAATGGCACCATTTGGTTTTATGTGAACGGATAGAGCTAAAAACAACAAATTGGGCTAGAAGCCTCAAATTTCGTATTCGGATCTCTGTTGGTATCTGGAATTGAGATATGGAGGTGGTTGGAAATGTGTACTATAATTGTACAAAAATACTAAATGGTACTAAATTTGGTATTGGGTAAAGGAATAGAGCTGGAATCCCGAAATTTGAGTTTAAGATCTCAGTTGATATCTGGAATTGAGATATGGTGGTGATTTTGGAAATGTGTCCTATAATAGTTCTAAATTTGGTATTGGGTGAAGGCATATGGTTGGAATATCGAAATTTGAGATCAAGGTCTCTCTTGGTATCTAGCATGGAGATATGGAGGTTGTTTTGGAAATGTGTACTATAATTCTTCGAAGAGTACCAATTGGTACTAAATTGGGTATGGGGTTGAAGAGATAGAGATAAAATTCTGAAATTTGATATGTAGATTACAGATGGTATCTGTGTTTGAGAGTTGATGGTGGTTCGAAAAATGCGTCCTATATTTGTACTAAATACTACAAGATGTGGTATTGGATAATAAAATTGGGCTGGAATCCACAAATTTGATATTGAGGTCTCTGTTGGTATCTGGAATTGAGATATGGAGATTATTGAAAATGTGTACTATAATTGTACGAAAATGACTAAATTTCGTATTGGGTGAAGGGATAGGGTTGGAATCATTAAATTTGATATTGGAATATGCCTATTCCTATCTGGAATTGAGATATGGAGGTGGTTTTGGCAAGTGTGCTATAATTGTTTGAAAAGTAAAAAGTGGTACTAAATGGGACATTGGGTGAAGGGATAGAACTGGAATCCCGAAATTTGATATTGAGGTCTCGTCTTGGTCTTTATATCTGGAATTGAGATATGGAGATATTTTGGGAAATGTGTACTATAATTGTACGACAAGTACCAAAGGTACTGGAGAACTAAATCTTACTAAATTTGATATTGGGTGAATCCCGAAATCAGGTCTCTGTCAGTATCTGGAATTGAGATTTGTTGGTGGTTTTGCAGATGCGTACTAAAATAGTTCTAAAAGAACAAAATAGTAGTTCCGTATAGAAAAATGAATGGGGATCCATTGTACAATGTTTTTTTTAATATACCCCTCGGTAAACTTCATTAATTAACAATTTTGAAGACTTTTTGGTGTAAAAGGTAAACGTGTTCCTATAATTCTTTCCAAAAAAATTAAAACCATTGTAAAATAAGGAAGTCAAAGAAATTTCAAAGAAGATTATCTGTCCCTGCATTTCCTGTAATTTACCTTGTAAAATTTCACTGAATAAAAATTAAGTTCCCATCTCTGATTTCTGTGTATGCAATGGATTAATAAATATAAATTTTATCAATAAGATATTGCCAAATGAACAATTTGCCAAATTTTTGAGTACTAAAAAAGCCTATCACAAACTGTTGGAACAAATCTAAAATTTTAAGGTGTACTTTCCGTTGACGAAGTAGCGTTCACTTGCTAGTCCATGAATAATTACCTACCAGTGATTGATTTGCTTTCCATGATTTGTCAAAAGGATTTTCTTTATTATTTGTTAATTTACAGTTATTTTTAGAACTCTCCATTAGTAATTTTCAAATCAATATTAGTAATTACCTCGATACGTCATTCATGGCAACGGCTAATATATACATATGTGTGTTCGCTTGTATGTATAAATATTAGCTGCAATGGTTTTCTTATGGGTACTTACTTGGCATTCCCTTTTGGGCAGGTCAGTTATTTTTATCTTTGACTTGTAAACGAATGTCCTATTGGTCCACATTCGACCCGATATTCTGTAGAAAATATCTTCCTTTGACACTTTCCCCAAAAAAATGAAGTACTAAGGGATTTTGACTTAGATTGAAATAGTATAAGGTTAACAACGAAAAACGTAAGCATTTAATTTTCGCTTTTAATGTATACATTACGAATTTAATTTTCTTAAAAACTATTGAACCTAGATATATGATTTATTCTGAGACTTATAGTGAAATTTGGTGTAGAATATTTCCTTCTTCAACACTTTCCATCTAAAAATAAGTTTTACGATACTTTCGCGCATAAACTCGAAAAGGCGCCATGTAAAATCCATGAAAAATGGAAATATTGTCTTGTTTTAAGATGTGTCTAGAGGAAAATACATCGTATTTTCTATGACACATATATAGTTTACATATTTCTTTTGTTCAGAGACTTATGATGAAATTAGATCTAGAATATATCTTCCTTGGACACTTTCTCCAAAAAAATAATTTTTAAGGAATTTTGACTCTGATTAGAATAGTATAGCGAATATCAATCAAATACATAAACATTTAATTCCTACTTTTAATATATAAATTTGGAATTTAATTTTCTCAATAAACTATTAGTCTCAGAAACATATTGTATTCTAAGACCTATATTGAAATTTGGTATAGATTTTTTCCTCTTTTAACATTTTCTGTCTGAAACGAAGTTTTATGGTACTTTCATGCATAAACTCGAAGAAAGGCCGATAAAAAATACATGAGAAAAGGAAATATTTAATTCCTACTTTAAATATATAAATTTGAAATTTAATTTTCTCAATAAACTATTAGTGCCAGAAATATAATTTATTTTGATATTTTCAGTGAAATTTGGTGTAGAATATTTCTTCTTTTGACATTTTCTGTCTCAAATGAAGTTGTATGTTACTTACATGCATTAAGACGAAAAAAGGCCAAAGAAAGATCCATAAAATAATATTTGTTTTTTTTTTTTTTGTTGGTAAAATTGAAACAAACATTTAACTGATATATAATGAAAATAGAGATTTCTTTTCTTTGATGACTTATAGTGAAATTTAATGAAGAATCTTTTCATCTTTAACACCTTCCTTCTAAAATTATTCTTTGTGAGAGAATTTCTCATAAATTCACATGAAGTGCGGCCTTAACCTTAAAATGTAAAAGTAAAATATTTTCGACTTTTTTTGGTAAAATGAATATAAATATTTTATTAACATATAATGAAAATAGAGATTTCCTTTCGTGGGTTTGGTTTCTTTTGATGCACAATATTTTTTTTTCGTTTACGTCATTCTTCTAAAATGATGCTTTTTGGGGAATTTCTCACAAATTCAAATAAAGTACGGTTGAAACCTTAAAATGTAAAAGTAAAATATTTTCGACTTTTTTTGGTAAAATTAAAACAAATATTTAATTGGTATATAACGAAAATATAAATTTTCTATCTTTTAAGACTTATAATGAAATTTGATACAGAATATTTTCATATTTTACGCCATTCTTCTTAAATGATGCTTTGTGGGAGATTTTTACATAAATTCACATGAAGTGCGGTTTCACATTAAAATGTAAAAAAATATTTTTTTTTGGTAAAATTGGAACAAATTTTTAATTGATATATAATGAAAATAGAAATATACTTTCTTTGGTGACTTATAGTGAAATTTTATAAAAAGTATTTTTCTCTTTAACGTTTTCCCTCTAAAATAATGCTTTGAAGTAGAATTTTTCATAAATTCACTGAAGTGCGGCTTTAACCATAAAATGTGCTTTAAATATTTATCAGTTTTAATGTATTTTTGAGACCCATGGTAGAATTTTAAGACAAATAATTTTGTGGAATATTTAGACTTTAAGGGGAGTTTCAAACATTTTTTGGAAAACCAAAACCGAACACCTAAAAAACGATGT